GCAGGATCACTCTCTTGCATAAACTCACTGCCAAGCTCCAGCGCAGGCTCTTGGGATATGTCCCCCCCCACCTCGTCCCCACAGGTTTCTTGGACCCAGCGCTTCTTGGTCACCAGGGATCTCCTGCCCAGTCATGCCACTGACCGTGGCAGCTCTGAGCTCCTCGTCCTTGTCCCTCTCCTGCTCCTTTCTCTCCTCACACAGAGACACGGACACCGGTGCCCACGCAGCTGCACCCTCCCTGTCTGTGTCTCATCTTTTTCTCTTTTAACGCCCTGATCTATGCTGTCCTCGTGTCTCCTCACTCCACTCAGGCTCTGTCCCCATGCTCAGGTCTGTTGTCCTGCCTGCCTCTCTCCCTCTGCCCGTTCCTTCTCTTCCTGCCCGGGCCCTGCCCTCCTCCCTCCCTCATCATCTGCTGCTTGCTGCTTCTCTTGTTCACTCGTGGGGCTCTGCTGAGAGCACACGGGAGCACGCTCTTGCGTTCTCTCCCTCGCCTCAGCTGCTGACCCTGTGGCTGCTGCCCGCACCACGCCCTGTCCCTTGCTGTTCAAGAAGCCTGGGCCTGGGTGGCTTCATTTGGAGGTTCCTGGGGTATCTGGTGGAGAGAACCCCGGTCAGTGCATTTCCTCCCAGGGGTGAGTTGGCAGCAGGCCGCTCTGTTTCGTCACTTCTGCAATTGCCAGACGGCAGCACAGAGGCTGGGGCCAGAGCCGGACAGAGAGAGGGCGACGCTAGAGCCGAGCTGCTGCTGTTGCCATTGTCGCAGGTAAGAGCGACCCTTGCTCTGGCAGGGCAGGGCAGGAGGCCCAGCTCAGGCCCAGGCCCCACCTCAGCAAACAGGTGGTTCTGGGTTTTTTCTTTTTCTTTTTTTTTTTTATTTTAAAGGAAAAAAAAAAAAAAAACCCAAACATTTCAAATCAAGACAATAGGAGGGTAACAATGGTTAATACATTGTGTACTGTTATCTTTAAATTAGTTACTCAGAGTACAAGATATTGGCATATAACTGTCCAAACAATATTGGCACAAACCTTTCTTTTCAGTGAACTAAGAGAAATTAGTAGCATAACTATCTTAACTATCTTGTATATATATTTTTGCTTTTCTCTTCTTTTCTCCTTTTCCCAACACAGTTTCTTTTTACTTTTGAGCAGTTTCTTCCTCCTTTACAATATCTATTGCACACGCTGGATCTTATTCATCCTTTCAGCTTCTCATACTAGGGGGACAATATAAGGTTTGCACGTTTGCGTCTGGGTTATTTCACTTAGGAGGATGGTCTTGAGTTGCATCCATTTATCTATGAAAGTCTCCAGTGTATCTTCCTTTACAGTTTATCCTAATGGCTGAGTAGTACTCCAATGTATAGAAAGACCACATCTTTTTTTATATATTCCTCGGTTGGTGGGTATTTGGGTTGTTTCCAAGATCTAGCTTTACAAATTACACTGCTATAAACATGGGTGCACATACACCTGTGGGTGGTTCTGTTTTTGTTTTTTGTTTTCTGGTACGGGGGATCTCAGGGGCTCGTGCTTGCCTGGCAAGCATTTATTCTACTGAGCCATCTCCCCAGCCTGGGTGGTTCTGTTTTTAAGGGACTATACTGATGATACCTTTCTCTGGCTTGGCATCTCATGTTCAGAACTTCTTGTGAACAAACTTTGCCAGAGGACCCAGTACTCTTCTTTAATTCTCTGAGGCCAAGGCAGAATTAAGAGGACCTCAGAGGTCTCCCTGGGAGGTGAACAGAGGCTGCTTAGATCTCAGGGAGCTGAATACCTTCTGCTTTTTTTTTCTTTTGTGGTACCAGGGTTTGAACTCAGGAGCTTGCGCTTGCCAGGCAAGCACTTATTCCACTGAGCTATCTCTCCGGGTCTGTCTTCTGCTTTATGAGCTGCGTTATCTTGGGCAAGTTGTACTCACTCTCTGTGCAGTTCTCTTCCCTCTCAAGCCAGGCTAATGCCAACCCCCCAGCGGGTCTGTCAGGAGAGCGAAGGGGCCTGATGCAGAGCTGTGTACTTAGGAGCTCCCGACATGCTGGGCTTCCCTGAGGAATGAGGAGGGAAATCAGATTATTGGTCAAAAGACCAGGCTCACAGCCAGTTTCACTGTCTGGTCTCAGGTGCGGGGCACAAAGCCTGGATGCTACCCTTGCCCAGGTGTGGGGCTGGCAAAGCAGGGCTGCTGGCCAGGGGCTCACTCACAGAGGAGCTACCAGGGACATAGCTGGCTCGCTCCCAGGCATCAGGCAGCTCGCATTTAGTGTGGACTATCCAGCTGTGTTCCAGATGCTTAAGGCTATGTGTATGTCACAGGGAAAGTGACTGCCAGGGAGGCAACAAAAAGGACTTCTTTCTCTTCAGGCACTAACACAACCTGAGCTAGAGAAAGAAGTCAGCTAGAGTGGTGGCTGGCATGGGCCTGTGTGGACACCCAGGGTTGGTTTTTTAAAATTTATTTATTTATTTATTTATTTGTGTGTGTGTGTGTGTGTGTGTGTGTGTGTG